AGGAGGAGGAGGAGGAGGAGGAGGAGGAGGAGGAAGAAGGAAGAAACCCTAAAGCACCCAACAACAGGGCAGCTAAATATAGAAAGGAAAATTCACTAGAAAGCCAATGAGAAATGAGAGAACTAACTGGTCTAGCAGATAGGACAAAGCAAGAGCATAGAGGATTTAAATGATATGATAAAACGAATGAACAATAACAACAAATCTACCAACAGATAAGCATGTGCGTGGTGACCATATGCATTCAGGAATAAAACAGCAATGGCCCACACAGGAACGCACGCCTTAGAGAATGCATGCAAAAGTGCACCTATGGTGATATGAATAAACACCGAAACAAATAAGCAGATAAGGGGGTGATGAGAGGGAAATAAATTTCTACACAAGTAGGGGAAGAAGGGAAGGAAATTCCCGGTTGTAGCCAGCTCAGGAGGGTGCAGCTGGCCATCCCAGCTCCACTCACCCGGCCGAAGAACTGCAAGAAGGTGTTGGACAGCAGCAGGTGCTTCTCAGCCAGGAAGCGGTAGCGTCGCTTCTCCTCCAGCTCGGCAGCCCGCTGACTCTCAGACACGAAGGCCTGCATCTGTGCATGCAGCCGGTTCACGCTCTCCTATGGGAGGAGGCTCTGGCTGGGATGGTGGTGAGTATCTCGTCCCTGTCCTTCCACCTGGAGGCCCATCCCAGCTCCTGAGCTGCCCCTCATGGGCAGCCTCCTTCTTACAGGTCTGGGCCCTGTGCCCGCCCTGGCCTGAGTGCTTCTCACAGGCAAGGCCAGGGTCTGAGCCACGGCGCTGTGCCTGGCACCCAGGTTACTCCAGGGATTTGGGTATTGGAGATGGAGGCTGGGATTGGAAAGAGAGGTGCTGGTGGGGCTCAGATTTGCTCCATGTTCAGAGCAGCAGGGCTCATGGCCTTGCTGGAGTAGGGGTGCTGGGGTTTTGAGAGAGGGGGCCCTGGGGATGCCCAGGACCCAGGAAGGGCAGGAGGGCTGTGGAGGGCGGGCCTGAGGGCCAGTGATGCCCACCGCTGTGCTGGAGCCAAGTAGAGGGGCACAGGAGGATGCTGGGGTCCCCCAGACCTGCCCACCTTCCCCCAGCCCATGCACCTTCATCTCCCGAGCATTCTTGTCCCTCTTGCGCTCCATGCGCCACAGCTCGGACATGCACTTCTCCAGGTTGGCGGCACGATGGCGGTACTCGATCTCATAGTGTTGCCGGCTGTCCTGGGGACACACGGAGACCCGGGATCAGGACAGAGGCTCAGGGCTCAGAGTGCCGTACAGGGATAACCAAGCGTTGGGCTGGGGATTTAGCTCAGTGGTTCTGCTGCCTGCCTCGCACGTGCAAGGATCTGAGTTCGATCCCCAGTACCAAAAAAAAAAAACAAGCGCTGCTCAGTGCCCGGGCTGGCCTCGGTGTGCCCATCTGCCCAGTGGGCCGGGTAGGGTGGGGCTGGACTCACTTTGATGAACTGCATGTCCAGCTTGGTGTTCTTCTCCATGTGCTGCAGCAGGTCACCGTGGAACGTCTGCACCTGAGGGCAGTGGCAGACGGGGGGTGATCGAGGCGGCCCTTTGGCTTCCAGGGCCTAGCGTTCCCCACACTTTCAACTACAGGTGCCTGTACACTTGTCAGAACACAGACCAGAGTACCTTGGAGGGAGGGTGACCCAGTCGGGCATGTAGCACCTGCCTCAAAACCCACCCTTGCCAAAGGTATCTCAGCCTGCAGCTCTCATTTTCAGGCTTAACCTGAGTTTGTCCTTTACCTGTGTCATTCCCTCTGCCTGAAGTTTTCTACCAGTCTTCAAATGCCAGCTTCCCTGCCCCTCTGCCGAGAGCCCCCTGCTTCCCCACGCAGAACCAGGGCTCTTCCTTTGTTTGCAAAGTGAGCAAGATCTATTCTCAGGCTCCTCTCCAAGTTCCCTGTCCTCTACATCCTTAGCACCATGGCCAGAGCCTGACACAGCAAAGGGGCCTGAGCTGGGGAAGCCTTGGAATGGGGGGGGCCGCCCCCATGACAAGTGAGAAGTAGGCGCTGACCACGTGGGGGGGTCCGGGGTGGCTGCCGGGCTCAGGTCCTGAAGAACTGCACCCCAGCTCTGCGTCTGTCTCAATTTGCTTTGTGACTTTGGGCAAGTTGCTGCCCCTCTCTGAGCTTCAGTTTTCCCATCTGTAACAGGAAAGACCTGGCCTGACACTCTAAGGATCCGAGGAGCTCTGCTGCTGTGGGCTGGTGGCCCCTGGCATGTCCTCAATACCCTTCATCAGCTTTTCTGGAGTTACTCCACGCCACTGGGGAGGCAGAGGTAAATCCACCCGGCTGTGCTGCCCTGGGGTGCAGGCTGAGGGGGAGGCGGAGGAGCGCCCCCCGCCCTCAGGCCCCCACCTCTGCAGCCCTCTGGGCGCACCTTGCACCTTTCCCTGGGAGCCTTCCTGCCACCCTGAGTCTTCACTCGAGCTTGGGAGCTCTGCCCCTGACTGGTGGGGCAGTGTGTGGCCCAACAGGCAGCGCTGCTGTCTCCTCCCAGAGTGCAGGAACTCAGTGCTCTACACCATTGTTGGAATTTAAGTTTCCAAACTCCTTGGTATCAGCCGGTCTCCAGAGAGCCAGCAAGCCCTCCTTCCAGAGCTGTGGCTGCCAGTGTGTGCTGGGAGACGGGTGTCAGGAAGTGTCCCACAGGCATGTGCATGTAGGAAAACACGGAGGAGAGAGGCACATGGTCACAGAAACCACAGCGAGTGGGACAGGGACAATTGCCTGGACAGGAAGTGCTGGAGCCCGAGCTGGGCGAGCTTCACAGTGGCTCCCTTACATCGCGTGCCCTTGCTTCTGACCTCCTCCTGGCCCTGCTTCCCACCACAGACACAGTCCAGGGCTTCTGCTCCAGCCCTACCCTGTGCTCCTGCTCATCCTCACCTGCACGATCACCTAACAGAAATGACAGGCTTCCAGGAGGTACAGAGCTGGGTCAGCCCTGCACCCGGGCCACTTTGTAATGGAAAGCCAATAAATACCGACAGCAAAGGTACCTAAAAGCCACAGAACATTTTAAATGCACAATGCTGGCAATGCTGGGACCCTTAATGAGGGCCAGATGGGCCTGCAGACGACAGCAAGAAGGGGGACTGGAACAGCGGGGCTGTCACTGGTGGCAGGGGAGTGGCACAGCCACCTGGAGGGCCCTGGCACTGCAGAAGTTGGCGCTCTTTCCTTTTCTGGGCATTCCTGGCATCCTGTTCCACTCTTTGAGCCTAGGAAAAACTGCTCTTTGTGCACAAGCCAACTTCCCAGCATGCAATGTGGTCCCAGAGCAGAGGCACAGCAAGCTGAGGGCAGACACCTCCACTGTGGGGACCATGGCCTACTCTCTCTGGCAGCCAGCGCATCATGCTCAGGAAGCCCTCTTGCCAGCTGTCAGGGAAAGCCCTGACCTGACCCCTGCAGTCAGGCTGTTGCTCCACTGTGACAAGAGTCTGGTCAAAATGTTTAGTCAAGGCCGGGTGTGGTGGTGAGCCCCTATGATCTCAGCCACTTGGGAGGCTGAGGCAGGAAGATGGCAAAGTCGAGGCCAGCCTGAGCAACTTACCAAAAGCCCGTCTCAAAAAATAAAAGGGCTAGAGATGTAGCTCAGTGACTGAGCTCTCCTCATACTGCAAAAACAAAACGAGACAAGAGTTTTGCCCAATGTTTTGTTGAAATCACTGGTGACTGTTGCTAAATCCAGGCCGATTCTTAGGGCTTGTCTGACTCATCCTGTTATTGCTGGTCCACACAGCTGCCCACCCTCTCCTCCTGGAAACATCCCCTTCCCCAGCTCCAGCTCACCACCGGCTACTGCCTTCCTCCCACTTCGGCTGCAGTCCTGGTCCACAGCCTCTCTGAGCACTCATGGGTAGGTCCCCCAGGGCACAGGCCTTGGGCCCCTTTCTTGTCATCTCCACCCAGGTGCACTCACCCAGCCCAGGCCTCCAGTGGACAGCTGGAGAGTGAAACTGACAGTGCCACCCATAATGAAGAGGGAACATGAGAATGGCCACTGGTGTCCAGCTTAATGCGACTCCTATCATAACTCTATCAGGCTTTCTGGAAGAAATTGACAAGCTCATCCCGTAACTCACATAGAAATGCAAAGGATCTTGAACAGGCGGAAACAATTTTGAGAAAAGAAGAACAAAGTTCTTAGACTACTTGATTTTGGAATTTAACTACTGTAATTGATACAGGCTGGTACTGGTGTAATTATAGATGATACATATATCAATGGAAGGGAGTACAGAGGCCAGAAATAGACCCACACATATATGGCAAATCAATTTTTTTGGTACCAGGGATTGAACTTGGGACAGGCAGGCGCCAGAACCACTGACCTAAATCCCCGGCCCTGCAAATCAATTTTTGACGAAGACATCACATCAACTCAATGGGTAAAGGAGTCTTTTAAAAATGGGTTAAAAGGCTGGGGATGTGTGCCTGTCTGGCAAGTGCAAGGTCCTGAGTTCGATCCCCAGTACCAAAATAAATAAATAAGTGGGGCCGGGGATTTAGTTCAGTGGTTTCGCCGCCTGCTGCGCAAACGCAAGGACTCGAGTTCGATCCCTGGTACCAAAAATAAATAAATAAATAAATAAATAAATAAATAAATAAATAAATGAAAGGGTTGGAGCTGGATATGGTGGTACATGGCTGTAATCCCAGTGCTTGGGAGGCTGAGTGAGGCAGGAGGATCATAGGGAGTTTGAGGGCAGCCTGAGATACATAGGGAGTCCAATTCCAGCCTGAACTACCTAGTGAGACCCTGTCTGAAAAAGAAAGAAAAAGGTTGAAACAATTGATTACTCACACAAGGCAAGATGAACCTTGACTCACTCTGCATACAAAAACAAGTTTGAGATGTACCGTAGAAATAAACGTAAGGGCTGCAGATGAAGCTCAGTGCCACAGTGCCTGCCTGGCAAGCATGAGGCCCTGAGTTTGATTCCTGGTACCAAAAAAAAAGAAATGCAAACCCCAGAATATAGAGTTTCTAGAAGAAAACTCAGGACAATATTTTGGCTATGGGGTAGATAAAGATTTGTTAGGATATAAGTATTAACTATTCAGAAAAAATGTAAAATTTTTGCTTATCAAAGATGACAGTATTTCATTGTTCTCTGGTGTGAGAAACCGAAAGTGGAAATAAGGACTGAAATGTATAATGGATGTTGGGAAATGGGAAGAAAGTGTTCAAATGGGAAGGGGAACAAGGGAGGAGGGAGGAAGAAAGGAAGAGACAAGAAAAAAGTGAAAACAGAAGGAAAAAATGGAAACAAAGCTTCTGTACATAGGGAGGGGAGGGGGCTTGAGGGGCAAAGGGACAGAATAAAATAAAATTTGCTTAAAAAAAAAGATGACAGCATTAATAGAGAAGTTGGTGGGGGGAAATTCACCAGATGCATCTGACAGAGGACTCCTGCTGTGACTACATAAAGAACACCCACAGTCAATGATAAGTATAACCCTAAAAATCCCTCATGGAGGATGTACAAATGTCTACTAAGCCCATTAAAGCCACTGGTCATCAGCAGTGTACAAAACAGAACCACAGTGAGATACTGCTCTATTCTCCCTAGGAGACTGAAATAAGAGAGACTGACTGCAAGTACAGAACCACACAATCTGCACTCTGCTGTTGGGGAACAGAGGGTATGAGAATGCTGGAGAATTCGGGCCACTTCTCATAAAGCTAAGCCTATGTCCATGCTCTGACCCACAAGCTCCACCCCAAGGGGTCTCCCCACAGAACCCACCACCTGCCCACAGAAAGATGAGGGGAAGTTCTCAGCCGCCATATTCCTCAGAACCCATAACAGCCTTTGCTTTGAGACACCTCAAATGACTATCAGGGCAAGGGTGGCTACACAAATTGTGACACACTCATACAATACCAAGCAGTAACAGACCTCACTGCATGCCAGGAGCTGGACATATGGGAATCCACGGGGTCTGACCCCACCATGCGGAGCTTCATCAGTCCAGAACGAGTGAATCAGTCTCGGAAGGCAGAGGGGGGATGGGACTGTCTCAGGGAAGGGGAGATTGATGAAGAAGATATGGAACTTTCTGAGCTGATGGAAATGTCCTGAATCTTGTTTAGCACAGTGGTTATATCGTGCACCATTGGCAAAAGTCAAAACTCATTAAAATCCACTGAAACTGGGTATGGTGGCACACCCCTATATTCCCAGCACTCAGGAGGCTGAGGCAGAAGGATCACATTGAGTTTAAGGCCAGCCTGTGCTACTTGGTGAGATCCTGTCTCAAAAAAAAAAAAAAAAATTCAACACTTAAGAACTGGTCAAGCCAGTCATGGTGGTGCATGCCTGTATTCCCAGCACTCAGGAGCTGAAGCAGGAGGATCACCATGAGTTCAAGGCCATCCTGGGCTACATAGTGAGTTCAAGGCCAGTGAAACCCTCTCAAAAAAAAAAAAAAAAAAGAAAGAAAAACCTGGTCATTTAATTGTATGTAAATTTTACCTCAATAGAAAAAAAA